GGCACGTCCGCGCGCTCGGGACCGCCCGCCGCGCGGCGCGCTGCCGCCGCGGCGGCGGCGGGGCGCGGCGCGGCCTGCGCGGTGCGCGGCGCCCGCGGAGCTGCCCGCGGGGGGCGAGGCCAGAGGGGCAGGGGTCGGAGCGCCGTGGGGGCAAGCGGGTTTCGGAGGCATCCGCCACGGCCACGGCCAAAGCGGCCACGAGGAGGAGGAGGAGGAGGAGGAGGAGGAGGAGGAGGAGGAGAAGGAGGAGGAGGAGGAGGAGGAGGAGGAGGAGGAGGAGGAGGAGGAAAAGGAGGAGGAGGAGAGAAGGAGGAGGAGGAGAAGGAGGAGGAGGAAAGAGGAGGAGGAGGAGAAGGAGGAGAAGGAGGAGGAGGAGGAGGAGCAGGAGGGCCAGGGGCGAGGTCGGGCCCCCGTGCGCCGGAGGGCGGTGGGGCGCACGCGGGGCTCCTGGGCGGGGAATCCGAGTGCAGTCGACCCGCGCAGCGAGGAGGAGTGCCTTTCCCAGGGGTGCCCCGGCATCCTTGCCTGCTCGGCCCAGTCTTGGCCACTCTCGCTGGCCGCGCCGCGCCCGAGGAGCTTTGCAACGGCCTTCCAGGGCCCCTGCATCCTTATCGTGCGTCCTTATGATACGGGTCGATTGCAGGCCTCCTGGACGGGGTCCGAGTAGATGGGGTCGGAGCATCGCGCTGCACCGCCGAGGTGTCGCCGATGCGGCTCGATGTGGAGCCCGATTTTCTCCGCGCTGGCGTCACCGAAGCTCCGACCCCATATACTTCAGGAGGGAAAGAAGCACACAGACACAATTCATCGTCGATTCCCCAGAAAATATGGGAAAATATGGGAAGTGGGGGGGAAGACACAAACCCAGAAAATATGGGAAAATATGGGGAATCTCTTTATGTGTGTGTATTTATTTGTGTGTTCTGGGGCCCCTTTAATACTTGGACCCCATCCAGGAGGTCTCCAGAAACGGGTCCTGCGGTCTTTCGCCGCTTTCGGCCTCGCGGGCTCTCGGGGCCCTCCAGGGGGCCCGGGGACTGCCAGGGCACGGCGCAGGAGGAAGAGCTCGTCTTTGGGGGCAGGCCCCGGGGTCCAGGACCCGTTTCCCCCAGGACGCGCTTCCCCAGTGTTCAGCCATACGGTCGCTCCGCCGGTTTTGGCTCACCACGCTTTGGGCCGACAGGCTATCCACTTCTCGGCCCCCCAGCGCCAATGTCACGAGCTTTTCCCAGCCTCCCCGCCCCGCGGAGCGGAGCGACACCTTATCCGCTTGCAAGACATAGCGGCTAGCGTGTCGCCATGGTCACCGCTGCGACACGCCAAGCAACAGTTCCTGACCGTATGCGTCGGACGTCCAGGGAGGCCCCGGCAGGGGTCGCAGCGCCGGGATCGGGAACGCGTGCCGCAGCATCTGACATTACGGTGGATACGAATCGGTGGATTTTGTACCATGTTCCCGTTGTGGTAGGACGCGCCGATAAAACAAGTACTGGCGAGTCCTGTGCCACCCTCACTGCCGCGCGCCTCTCCCGTTCTGGCCCTGGGTGCTCCCGGGCCCCCAGACCAGCGCCAAGAGCCGCTCCCGTAGGTTGTTCGTCAGGCAGGCTTGCGTGCCTTGTATTTTACAGTGCAGTAAACCCGCATATGCCACCTTCCCAAGGGTACAGTCGGGGCCCTGAAGAAAGAACCCTTTTGGTGAAGGAGGGGCTCCGCGTTCCTTAAGTGTTTCACAGCTTGCCTCAGGTTTTCCTTATGTTTTCAATAGGAGATCGAAGTTTATCTTATGGAAAAAAGGGACCTCGTTCCTTATTTAGGGTTCCTTAGGTCAACGCCCCGACTGTACCTTCCCAAGGGTACCCTTGCATCCCAAGGGTCACCTTCCCACGGGTACCCTTGCATCCCTCCCTCCTCGGCCCATCCTTGGCCACTTTCGCTGGCCGCGCCCCCCTCGAAAGGCTTCGACATGGGCGTCCAGGGCCCTTGCACCCTTGTCGCGCGTCCTCCTGACTTGGGCTGGCTGTGCACTCGGCCTCGACTGCGCGCGAGCGTGGCCCTCCGCCCCGCCGGAGGGGACCCCTCGGGTGCGGGCCCGAGGGGGACTCCGATCGCCGAGCGCGAGGCGACGAGACAGCGGCCTGCGCGCCTGACCGTGCCCCCACAGGCCGCCTGCCCCCCCCCCCCCCTTCTTGGCCGCGCACCAAGGGGTCACTCTTGCGCGTCGCCGATCCTCCGGGCTCCGCCGCGCCGCCTCGCGCCGGGGGAGGGGCCTGCCGTCGGGGGGCCACACACGGCACGCGGTGCACCGACGCAGTTTTCCCTCCTCCCCCAGCTTCTCCTCCTCCTCCTCCTCCTCCTCCTCCTCCTCCTCCTTCCCTCCTCCTCCTCCTCCTCCCTCCCTCCTCCTCGTCGTCCTTCTCCTCCTTCTGTCCTCCTCCTCCTCCTCCTCCCTCCTTCCCTCCCTTCTCTTCCTCCTCCTCCCTCCCTTCTTCTCCTCCTCCTCCTCCTCCTCCTCCTCCTCCTCCTCCTCCTCCTCCTCCTCCTGTGGAGCGTCCGCCAGGGCTGAGCTCTCGTGTGCCGCCGCCTTTTGGCGGTCCCTGGCGTGGATTTCGACGGTCCAGTTTTCGTGAGATGTCTGCAGCGGGAGCTCGCGCCAGCTTTCGGGGCAGGTCCCACCAGTTCGGAAGGCGATCCCGTCAGGGAAACTGGCAAGTTGATGTCCCACGAGCTCGAGTCTGACGTCTTGCCCGATGGTAAGCAGCGGTTTGTTTGTTTTCTTGATTGTATGGTGTTGTTCATGTTTGGTTGTAAGTTGTTCGTTGTCGGCTTGCGTCTTTTTCAGTAATGCTGTTTTTTCCCCCATGGCTGTGTGTGCTATTCTTTTGTTGTTGAACATTATTACTTCTAAAGAATAATTATTGTTGGGACCCCTGGTGCACGACCCCCCCGCCGCGCCTAGGCCGCAGCCTCATTTTCATAATTTTCGTGAGGAAGTCTCAGGCAAAACGGGGGAGTCCGGATCCGGTTGTGTTGTTACGATCGGTTTTCCCTTGCAAAAAATAAGGCAAAGTGGACATTTCTTGTTCTAACATAACCAAACTTCAAGAATCCCTTGCAAACAATAAGGTAAAGTGGACATTCGCGCGCGCAAGACGAAATCCTTCCAAAACCTTTGTGTTCGTAGCGATTTTAACATAAAAACATCAAAAAAACAATTTTTTTTCAAAAAAAGTGTCAACATTTCATCCCGCGCGCTCTTGCGGATTCGTAGGAAACCCAACACTTTTTAAACATTTCTGTCAAACGGGCTTTTGCGAGCAACTTTTTCGAACTTCTGCAACAACGGTTGCGCACCTGCCAGGGCCATCATCCCTGTCAAATAATACCATGCGGGACACATTCGTTTTTTCTTCGCGCGCGCACGCCGTCGTCGTCGGCCGCGGGGCCCTGAATAGTAGCCACGGTCGTCCGCATGCCACGAAGTGAAGTGTCCGAACGTCATAGGGCGGGAAGCTGGGTGTGGGTGGTGGCGAAGAGTCGTTTGGAAATGTGGTAGAGCTTGAACCGGCCCCCCCACAAAGTGGGGGTATTGGCGGGCGTCGTATGAAAACCCTGGCACTGGTGAGAACGGAGTGTCCCCACGTGCTAGTCATTATTGTTGTTGTTGTTGTTGTTGTTGTTGTTGTTGTTGTTGTTGTTGTGGTTGTTGTGGTTGTTGTTGTTGTTGTTCTTGTTGTTGTTATTGTTGTCGTTATTTTTATTGTTGTTGTTGTTTTTGTTGGTGTTGGTGTTGTTGGTGTTGTTGGTGTGTGTGCGCGTGGGTGGGTGTATCGCTTTTCCAATTCTGTTGTTGAATGTCTTTCCATTCGTTGCGCTGTGGGCTTATTTGTTTGTTCGATTGTTTGTTCGTTGGTCGTTATGTGCCTTGGTATTTGGTGTTGTTCTCTAAATCGGCTTGCTGGTAAGAGTCCTAGCCCAATGTGTAGAGACCTGGTCCACTAACACCGCCCGCTATTTTGGACCAAACGATGGCATATTGCTTCCTCTGCTATTGCTATGGCTGCCTCTGTTGTAAGAACGTTTTCCTCTGCTATTGCAGTGGCTTCCTGTGGCTATTGTAGTGGCTTCCCGTCGAGTAGAGTATATACGTAGAGTGCAGCAGAAGAGTAAAGCAACGCAAAGTCGGGTAGAGTAGAGCCGGGGAACCGTAGAGTAGAGTAGGTTAGGAGTAGAGTAGGAGTAGAGAAGTGCATTTTCGGATCTTATACACATACACATGAATATATGCTACAGTAGAGAAGAGCACAACATGTTTGTGTAGGGCAGGGCAGGGTCGGATAGGTGAGGTTTGAATAGAGTAGGGTAGATTTGAGGTCTTCACAGCAGAGCATGGTTTCTTGTATCCGAGAGCCGGATGTACTAGACCAGCGAAGAGGAAATGAGAGTAGAGTTGTTCATGCTAGAGTAGAGTGTGGTAGGAGTAAAGTAGAGCAGAGTAGAGTCGAGTAGGTTAGGGTAGGGTCGGGTAAAGTAGAGTAGGGTGCAGCAGGACGTATTAAGGCAGAGTGGGCTCGATGGTAGAGTGGAGGCCAGCATAATGTCATGTACTCGAGTAGATCAGAGTAGAGTGGTACCTAGAGTGGAGCAGAGTAGTAATACATAATAATCGAATCTGTATTGAACTAGACTGGGGTAGAACAGGTTAAGGTAGGACAGGGTAGGGTAGGGCAGAGTATAGTATGGTAGAGTCGAGCAGGGCTGAGTAGTGTATGGCAGATGGCAGTAGGGCGGAGTAGAGTAATGAAAATTACGGAGTAATTGAAGAACCTGGCATTCCCCTAGCGCCCCAACCATGGAGGGTAGGGGGGGCTTCGCGTGTCATGCCGAGGGCGCCGTAGCCATTTTGGCTCAAGCTGCTCCCGGACACAGCCCTCCTGCTCTTCCTCTCTTACTTCTCTTCTTTCCCATTCCATCGCGGTCTTGCCAGGTGGGGTGCACGTGCGATGGCGCTGTTCCCTACGAGGGCCGAGGCCATGGCGTGGCAAAGCATCAGCGAGCTGGTCACATGGGCCGGCCTCAACATCGACGCTTTCAAGGCCTTCGAGGAAGTCGTGGGCCATCTTGGGAGCAACATCCGAAACGTCGCACTCCTCCCGGCCGATACGATCGTTGCGGCGGGAACGTACGCCAAGCTCAATGGCGCAGCGCTCCACCCAATTCAGATCGTGCAGTGGGGGCTTGTGTGGCGCCTGGCGCGCCGGATCGCCCTCACAGCCGAGGGGGGCCCGGCAGCGTGGGATGACTACATCGATGTGGACCCGTTCGCGCCGCCGCCGGCCTCGACGGCGCCGCCGGCCGCCCCGGCTGCCGCAGCAGCCAAGGGCCGCATCGTGAAGATGGCAGAGGTGTTGGACCAAGGCGACGCCTCGGAGATTCCTCTCGCGGACGACAACATGCACATCAAGTGGAGCCAGAACTACGGAGCACTCACTGGCGGTGAGCAGCCGGTGCCAGAGGACCAGCCGTCGCTCGAGCAGCTCACGGCGCTGGATCACCGGACCCGCGAGCTCCACTCCACGCCATACGCCGATTTCGGCGTTTTCGGGCCCTTCGACCGCAAGGTCCGGCGGAACATGAAGTTCCGGGCGTGGCTCCCGCTGCCTGGGGGCGGGTGGATGGCCCGGGAGCTCCCGGGCCCGGCGAATTTCGAGCAATGGCAGGCGGCCTGGCGGGTCTTCGCCACGGCCTGCCTGATGCTCGGAATCGTCGCCAGGGCCGCGCTCGACGGAAACGCCCGCCACATCGAGAGGCTGAGCGCGCTGTGGCCGGAGGCTTGGCACCTCGTCTACATGGCGGACGACAAGCTCCGTTGTGACCACATCGAGCGCCTTCGCCGCACGGTGCGTGCGGATCTTTCTGCGGGGAAGCCCGCGCCGAGGGAGTGGGACCCGGCCAAGCCGTGGACTGCCCTCTTCTACCTGGCGACGGCCGACAGGGACTACTGGAACGACCAGGTCACGAACCCGGCGACGGCCTGGGCGGCCAAAGGTGGCAAGGGCGTCCCATTGGACCCAGACGAGCGGCTCGTCGTGCGGATCCTTCCGGGTGGCGCCAGCGCAGTCGCGCCTACCGGCTGGGGTCGCTACGCCGCCCGGGCAGACGGGCGCGCCGGCCGGCCCGCCTCGCCGCCGGCCCGCCAGGAGCGCTCCCGCAGCCGCCGGGCGCGCTCCCCGCCGCGCAGCGGCCACCGCGGGCAGCAGAGGAGCCGCTCGCCCCGCCGCTGGGGCGAGGAGCGCGAGAAGCAGGTATGCTTCCAGTTCTCCAAGGGCTTCGGCGCCTGCCGCCTGGCCGCGCCAGGCTCGAGGTGCCCCGCCGGGAGGCGGCACGTCTGCCATGTGTGCTTCTCTCCGAACCACGCCGGGCACGAGAAGAAGTGCCAGGGCTGCGGCGGCAAGGGCGCAGACAAGGGCGGCTCCGGCGGCAGCAAGGGCCGCGGGGGCAAGCGGCGGAAGGGGTAGACCCCTGCAGCGGCCTCGCGGGGGTGGTGGATGCACCGCGCGCAGGCCCCCGTGAGGTCGGAGTACCTACTGCGCCCAGCCCAGGCGTGGCCGCCGCGCCCCTGGGCTGCCTTTCACTACAAGGACACGCTTCTCTGGCCGAGGGTAGCGGGCAACTGGGGGCGCCAGCGGCGCCCGGCCCACCTCGAGAAGCGATGCTGGCCGAACCTTGGTCCCTGTTTCCGCCGAAAGTTGCGCTCCTCGAGACGCACCCGTCCAAGGAGGCTTTCTGGCAGCGGCGATCGTTCGCCTTCCACCACTGGCTGTCGGGCTCCGCGGATTGCAACATCGGTGAGGCCGTCGTGGCAGAGGCCTCGAAGGTCGGGCTGGCTGCCGCCCACTTCTGGCACGACGCGGCCAGAGCGAGGTTCGACGGCCTGCGGGCGGATCTCGCGTCGGGGGACGCCGACGGCTTCCACGGCGGCGCCCCCGGTGGCGCCCCCGAGGCAGCCGCCCGCGCAGCAGCGCTAGTCTCGCCCCTGGGAGCCGCGGCAGCGTCTGCCTCGAGGCGCCTGCTGGCCCAGGCGACCCGCACTGTCGAGATCAAACCAGGCGCGGCGCTGGGGCTCGTAGACTGGCCGCGGCAGGACGCCCACGTCGCGACGTTCCCGTTGTGCCGCTGGGACGTGGACAGCGGACTGCGCGTGTCGATCCGAGGCTGGCTCCCGGGGCTCGCCTCCCTTGCTGGGGAGTGTCAGCACGATTGGCGCCCGCCGTCAACGTTGTCAGCCTAGGGGCGCGCCAACAGCGCGTACCCGCGCTTGTTGTGCGACCAGTACGCCAGACTGGTGGTGCGGGTGTGGCAGCTCACGATCCGAGCCGAGTGGGCCCACTGGGAGTGCATGCTGGCCCGGGGGCGCCCGCGCCCGCGGGCAGTCTCGCTGCCGGCCGCCCAGCCGCCGCCGCCCTCCGGGCTCGCTGGCCAGCCGTCGCGCAAAGCAGCGAGGGAGATGGAGAACCGCACTTTCCCCGGCGGCATGCGCTGTCCTGCGCGGGCCGTGGGTCTCAATCCTGGCCTTGCTAGGGCTGGGTCGGCGGCGCGGGCGGCCTTCTCCGCGTTCGTGGAGGAGCGGCCGGACGCGCTGGGCGTCGTCGACATGCTGGGCAACCCCAAGTACGAGGGCCCTCCGGAGGAGAGCGTCGCAGACCTGCGCCGTCGATTCCGGTTTGTTTTCGGCGCCCCGGAAGAGCGGCAGTTGTCTTACGAGCTCGGCCGGCGCTCCCCCCTGCAGGGCGCCCTCATTCAGACGTGGCTCGAGGCCGCGGGCGACGCGGAGAGCCAGCTCCAGGACTGGATAGAGCAAGGCGTCCCGCTCGGCATTGAGAAGCCGATTGTTCCATGCGGGATTTTCCCTCCCGTGGAGCCGACCGCGTCGGACAGGCACCTGCTGACGCTGGAGGAGGCCTTGTCGACTGGAGTTGGCAATTACTCGAGCCTCGACGACAGCCCGGCGGATGCCGAGGCGGAGCTCGACAGGCTAGAGGGGAACGGCTTCTTCTTCATTTTCGAGGAGGCGGAGGCCTTGAAACGCTTTCCGGATGGCTCCGTTGCCAGGCTCGCATTGATCCTGAAGCAGAAGGGCGACGGGAGCGTGAAACGCCGCATCATAATCGATATGTTGCGGGGCGGGCAGAATGCCAGAGCGACAGTCCCAGAGAGGCCGGTGCGTCCGCGCGTCGCGGATGTCATCGACGACCTTCGGGCGATGGTCCCGCCAGCGCCGGCGATGGAAAACAGCGTGCTGCTGGCATCTGCTGACATGCGGGACGCCTATCAGCACTTCCGTGTCCATCCCGCCGAGTTGCGACACTGTCTGACACGGGATTGGCGCTCAGCAGTTGTCATGGTGTGGGTGATGATGTCGTTCGGGCTAAAATCCGCGCCGCTGCTGTGGGTGCGGCTGGCTGCGGCGATGGCCCGGCTGATCCAAGGCATGTATATCCCCGGCGAGGCCCGCCTGCAGCTGTACATGGACGACCCGTTGTGGGCCCTGACAGGGTCGCCATACACGCAAAGATTTTGTCTTGCTATGGGAATCTGGACATTCATTGCTTTCGGAGTGTCGCTCTCGTGGGGCAAAGGCCAGATGGGGGCCCTCGTAGAGTGGGTCGGCGTGTCCATCGATGCTTCGACGGCCATGATTGAACAGACTGTGCGGCTCACGGTATTGGACAAATTTCTTGCCGAGCTGACCGCCGAAACTTCTCATTGCAATGGGGCAAGTATGATCGGCCTCCGAAGGCTACGTCAGCTGGTCGGCAAGCTGTCCTGGGCAGCCGGGGTCCTCCCTAGGACCAGGTGGGCTGTCAATATTCTGTGGGCTGTCGTTTCCCCTGCTGCCCGTGACGCCGCGTCCGGCGCAGAGGAGAGGCGACGAACTCAGCGCCGGGACCGGCGGCCGAAGGGCCATCTTGTGGACGCTCGAAGAGGCCGCTTGGCATTTACCTGGTTGCTCACTGTCTGGCAGGGCTGCCGCACCGCCAGGGTGCGCGAGGTCTGCTTGCACCCGGGGCCGCCCAGGTTCTCGATTACCACGGATGCTTCTCCTTGGGGCATCGGGGCTACGCTGTTCGACAACAGCGCCGGCATCATTATCGAGTACATTGCCTCCGATTTAAGCGCCGCTGATGTGACGCAACTGGGAATCGCCATCGGCTCGTCCACTGCGCAGGCAGTTGCTGAATTTTTGGCGATACTTGTCTCTACCAGAGCATGGGCACATTTCTTGAAAGGTGCGGCAGCTACCCTCGACCTCCGTGTCGATTCCATGGCTGCACAGGGTGTGGCGCAGAAGCTTTCGTCCCCGAACAAGGTCTTGAATTTCATGGCGGCCGAGCTCGCGGCCACGCTCGAGCTCGCCAGAATATCGAACCTGACCGTCGTTCACATTTCAGGCGCTGTCAACACAGTGGCTGACTGGCTAAGCCGTTTAACGGCCCCCGCGGACCAGCGGGGGCAGGACTGCAGCGGCCGCGTCTGCAAGGCGAAGAACAGGAAGGTCAAGAACAGGGACGCCGACTTCTACAACCTCCCGTCCCCCGTCCTCCACCCGGACATGTGGGGCTACGCGGAAAACTCCCAGGTGGGCTCAACGGCGTGGTCTTCATTGCACCTCCGGGGCGGCACCGGCCAAGAGTTCCAGTAGGGACGGCCTGGGGTGCCCGTGTCCAGAGTGGAGGTCCACGCGTAATGCGCCTGGTACCGGCCGACGGCCAGTGGTATTAGCGGCGCGCCTCCGGTGCGGTGCCGGCCGGCAGCCATGGGCACCTGTGCACTTGAGGAGACACACGCCGCTTGTATATAATTTTATATTTTCTTGTCGCCTGAGCCCGGGGCCATTGTCGTATTTTTCCTTCTTGCAGAGTCGTTGGGGTTGCGATGCGCGACACGGCGCCCAAAGAGAGGCGGCGCTGGCGCTTGGCCCGCAGATTTTTTGAAAACCGCATCGACCTCGGGACTTCTCCCCCCTGATCCTCCTTGCAGTTCCTCCTCGCCCGCCCCCTCCCCCCTCGAGTGGCCAGAATCGGCCGCGCGGCCGGAACGAGCTACAGTTCGGCCAGGCGGCGGGTGCGCAGAGGAGGGCCACCGGCACATCTGGCAGCAGCGTGAATGTCACAGAGTCGGTGCGGGCCCCGCCCTCCCTCTTCGTCATCATCACCTCCTCCCTTTTTTTTTTTTTTTTTTTTCTTCTTCCTCTTTGCACCGCCACTCGCAACCGTTTAGGTGCCACGGAGCCTCTGACGCGCTGCCGGCCTCATGCAATTGCCGCTTGCATGTTCTGGGCCTCGCGCAGGGCGGAGGCCGGAGGCCGTCCGTGCAGCGCCGTGGAGGCCGTGCTGGGCGTCACGCCGTCTCCGCTGCGATGCCGGCTTAGAGCCAGAGGTGTCTTGCGCACGCTGTGGAGGCCATGCCGGCAATCTGCCCTGCTGAGCCGAACTCAGCGGCTGCGACCGTGCTTTAGTGCACGCGGTGTCGCTTCCCCGGCAGCGCGCGGCTCAGTTGGCTCTCATTGCTTCTGGTGCGGTGCCGGCCATGGAGAAAAAGAAGGGATGGGCGGGCGGGTCTTGTCTGCGCTGGGAATGGGAAGGTTTGGCAGAGTAGAGCAGTGCAGAGTAGAGTGGGGTAGATGGCAGAGTTAGAATCGGATGCATTCTAGTAGAATATAACCGAGGAGAGGTGAACACAATAGAGTATTTCAGGAGTTGAATTGGATATAGTAGGGCCTACTCGATTAGAGTATGAGAAAGTCGGAGTAGAGTAGAGCAGAGCAGGAGTATCATACATGTGAGTAGGTGAGGTTATGGTAGGCTAGAGTAGAGTATAGTATGAGTAAAGTAGAGTATCGCAGAGTAGGGTATTTGGTAACGCTCAGTCGGGTATACTGTAATCGAGTATAGTGGACCAGAGTATAGAGTACAGGACATCACATGATAATAGAGCAGAGCAGGTGTATATTATGTTTGAATCGGAGGAGAGTCGAGTAGAGTAGTGTAGAGTAGAATCGAGCAGAGTAGAGTAGAGTAGGTTAGGGTAGGGTCGTGCAGGGTATAGTGGACTAGGGTACAGTGAAGCAGAGTAGAGTAGAGAAGAGTAGAGAAGAGTACAGTAGAGTAGAGTAGGGTAGATGGTAGAGTACGGTCGAGTAACATCGAGTGGAGTAGAGCAGAGCGGAGTCGAGTCTTTCCCAGTGCAGTCTAGTCTGTTGCAGTCCGTTCTAGTCCATTGCAATCCAGTCTTCTGATATACTTGGAGTCTGCGCCGTTTGATCGTGTTTTTCCCAACCATGCTGTGGTGTTGGGTCCTCGTTTCGAAGAGACGCTCCACGCGTTCTCCTCCTTCCTCCCTCCTCCTCCCCTTCCTCACTCCTCCTTGCATTTTACCCACCCAGTACAGCGTTTCGTGGCTCCATAGGGAGCTCCACCGACGGCCCCAGTGGCAGGGTTCGCATGGCGGCCCCGCTCCATTTTGGCACACCCCCCACACGGTTCGTGGCCCCACAGGGAGCTCCACCGAAGGCCCCAGTGGCAGGGTTCGCATGGCGGCCCAGCCCCATTTTGGCGCACGCCTCACACTGTTTTTGGCCCCACAGGGAGCTCCACCGAAGGCCCCAGTGACAGGGTTCGCATGGCGGCCCCGCTTCATTTTGGCGCACGCCTCACACTGTTCGTGGCCCCACAGGGAGCTCTATCGAAGGCCCCAGTGGCAGGGTTCGCATGGCGGCCCAGCCCCATTTTGGCGCACGCCTCACACTGTTTTTGGCCCCACATGGAGCTCCACCGAAGGCCCCAGTGACAGGGTTCGCATGGCGGCCCCGCCCCATTTTGGCGCACGCTTCACACGTTTCGTGGCCCCACAGGGAGCTCCACCGAAGGCCCCAGTGGCAGGGTTCGCATGGCGGCCCCGCTCCATTTTGGCACACCCCCCACACGGTTCGTGGCCCCACAGGGAGCTCCACCGAAGGCCCCAGTGGCAGGGTTCGAATGGCGGCCCAGCCCCATTGTGGCGCATCCCTCACACGGTTCGTGGCCCCATAGGGAGCTCCACCGAAGGCCCCAGTGGCAGGGTTCGCATGGCGGCCCCGCCCCATTTTGGCGCACGCCTCACACTGTTTTTGGCCCCACATGGAGCTCCACCGAAGGCCCCAGTGACAGGGTTCGCATGGCGGCCCCGCGCCATTTTGGCGCACGCCTCACGCGGTTCGTGGCCCCATAGGGAGCTCCACCGAAGGCCCCAGTGGCAGGGTTCGTATGGCGGCCCCGCCCCATTTTGGCGCACGCCTCACGCGGTTCGTGGCCCCATATGGAGCTCCACCGAAGGCCCCAGTGGCAGGGTTCGCATGGCGGCCCCGCCCCATTTTGGCACACCCCCCACACGGTTCGTGGCCCCACAGGGAGCTCCACCGAAGGCCCCAGTGGCAGGGTTCGCATGGCGGCCCCGCCCCATTTTGGCGCACGCCTCACGCGGTTCGTGGCCCCATGCGGAGCTCCACCGAAGGCCCCAGTGGCAGGGTTCGCATGGCGGCCCCGCCCCATTGTGGCGCATCCCTCACGCGGTTCGTGGCCCCACAGGGAGCTCCACCGAAGGCCCCAGTGACAGGGTTCGTATGGCGGCCCCGCCCCATTTTGGCGCATCCCTCACGCGGTTCGTGGCCCCATAGGGAGCTCCACCGAAGGCCCCAGTGGCAGGGTTCGAATGGCGGCCCCGCCCCACTGTGGCGCATACCTCACACGGTTCGTAGCCCCATTGGGAATTCTCCCTGTTTCGTCCCTCCGGCCCTGCGGTTCTCACGCTTGCGTATGATTGGTTCCTTCGCCATGATAATTCTTCATGCGTGGTATGTTTATGTCTATGCACACATACACACATATATATATATTTTTAATTTTTTTTCTATATATATATATATTATATATGTATATGTTATATGTATAGTAGTAATATATATTGATATCTATATATATATATAATATATATATATAGATTTGTATATTACACACATACACTATACATATAACGGCGAACCGGGTCAGGGGCCGGGGCGTGGAGGGGACCCCGGACACAAAAAAAAAACAAACAACAAAAAAAACAAAATGTGGGCTCCGGGGGGCCCGGAGGCTCGTCGGGGCTTGCCGGAGGCCTCCCCGGTCAGACAAGACGGCCCAGAAGCGCCCAAGACGGCCCAAGAAACTTCCAAGAGGCCTCCAAGAGGGCTCCGAGATGCTGAAGATGGCCTCCAGACGTCCAAGGACGCCCCCAAGAGGCCCCAAGAAACCTCCAACATGCGTCCCAAGAGGGCCCCTAGACGCAAAAATTGGCCCATTCCTTTCGTAAAACGTACATTTTCAACAACGTTGTCTTTTGGGCTTTCCGACGTTACAGGACGGCCCAAGAGGCGCCCAAGACCGCCCCAAGACGGCCCAAGAAGCTTCCAAGAGGGCCCCAGGACAGCCCAAGAGGGTCCCAAGACGGCCCACGAGGCGCCCAAGATGGCCCAAGAGGGCCCCAAGACGGGCCCAAGAGGGGGCCCAGCGGGGGACCACGAACCGCAAGCTCGAGCCTTCCGCCCCAAGAGGCCGCCAGGAGGCCCCCAGGAGGCCCCTCAAGAGGCCCCAGGAGACCCCAGACGTCCAAGGACGCACCCAAGAGGCTCCAAGAAGCCTCCAACATGCGTCCCAAGAGGGCCCCTAGACGCAAGAATTGGCCCATTCCCTTCGTAAAACGTACATTTTTCACAAAGTCGCCTTTTGGTCTTTCCGACGTTACAGAACGGCCCAAGAGGCGCCCAAGACCGCCCCAAGACGGCCCAAGAAGCTTCCAAGAGGGCCCCAGGACAGCCCAAGAGGGCCCCAAGACGGCCCAAGAGGCGCCAAGATGGCCCAAGAGGGCCCCAAGACGGGCCCAAGAGGGGGCCCAGAGGGGGACCACGAACCGCAAGCTCGAGCCTTCCGCCCCAAGAGGCCGCCAGGAGGCCCCCAGGAGGCCCCTCAAGAGGCCCCAGGAGACCCCAGACGTCCAAGGACGCCCCCAAGACGCCCCAAGAAGCCTCCAACATGCGTCCAAAGAGGGCCCCTAGACGCAAAAATTGGCCCATTCCCTTCGTAAAACGTACCTTTTCAACAAAGTTGTCTTTTGGGCTTTCCGACGTTACAGGACGGCCCAAGAGGCGCCCAAGACCGCCCCAAGACGGCCCAAGAAGCTTCCAAGAGGGCCCCAGGACAGCCAAGAGGGCCCCAAGACGGCCAAGAGGCGCCCAAGATGGCCCAAGAGGGCCCCAAGACGGGCCCAAGAGGGGGCCCAGAGGGGGACCACGAACCGCAAGCTCGAGCCTTCCGCCCCAAGAGGCCGCCAGGAGGCCATCAGGAGGCCCCTCAAGAGGCCCCAGGAGACCCCCAAGAGGCCCAAAGGAGGCCCCGAGAAGCCCCAAATCGGCTCCAAAAATCCTTCGAACCTGCTTCCAGGAAGCCCCCGACAGGTTCAGAGGCTCCCGAGAAGCTACGTCAAACTCCCAGCGAGCGACGGGACGAGGCCCCCCACAAAATCACAAGAGGCTCCACAGGCGGCCCAAGAGAGCCCCAAGATGGGCCCGAGAGGGATTCCACGCAAGTTGTTATTGTATGGCTCGGGAAAGGACGAGGATGAGGAGGAAGACGAGGAGGAGGAGGAGGAGGAGGAGGAGGAGGAGGAGGAGTAGGAGGAGGAGGAGGAGGAGGAGGAGAGGGAGGAGGAGGAAGAGGAGGAGCAGGAAAAGGAGGAGGAGGGGTGCTGTGGACGCCGCCGAAGTTTCCCGGGGAGTCCTGGGGGCACTTTGGTCTAGGGCCCCTCGTCGCAGGGGCTG